TGGAATAGTGTCTAGGGTCTTAAAGGCATGTATGTGAAGCAGCCATGTATGTGAAGCATCAACTAAGTTCACCTTGAAGAAGCACACCAGCCTGTGTGATCCAAAGATGACAATAATAAAATCCAAATATGATGAAGGGGTAAGTATCAAAACATAAATCATGAACACCCAATTGTAGAAGGGTATGGAGGACAGTGGGAGAGCCCAAAATCCATCTGCAGAGTAAGATTAAGTGTCTGGCAGATCACCTCTGGCCACAGTGGAGGAACAAGAACAGCTTTGCTATCAGACAGAGATTATTGTAAAATTGATTCTGGTGGACTGAACCATGGTATAATATGATATTTGGTCAGTTGACCTCCCTCTGGACCCAACTTGAATTTGTTCTAGGCTTAATTATTTCTCCCTTGTTCCATGACAGAAATTTCTTCTCTGGCTTTTTAAATGTTGGTGGTGGTCTTTTCTTTCTTACTCTTTATTTTTATTTCTATACATTGTTATTATTATTTTCTTCTTTCTGTTTTGCTCTGGCTTTGTCTTCTTATTGTTTCTGTTAGGTTTGCCAGTTTATGAAGCACGGGAGTGGGTGCATAGAGACAATAACCGATGCAATGGCTTATGGGGTGGGAGGAATTGGGAAGCAAACAGTGAATGTGGGAGCGGGGAGGGAGCACTAGAACTGATTCTGATTTTATATATATACAACTCTTTAAAAAAGTGATTAACATATGTAAATATTATATCAAGAAAAGTACTAAAAAAAAAAAAGATTCCCCCCACCATCATGATCCCAATTCTATCTTACAAATCCGGCTGGACTGGAGGATGTACACTAGTACCGATAAGAACTGGAAACACAGGGAATCCAGGGCAGATGAACCCCTCAGGACCAGTGTTGAGAGTGGCAATACTGGGAGGGTGGAGGGAAGGTGAGGGAGAAAGGGGGAACCGATTACAAGGATCTACATATAACCTCCTCTCTGGGGGATGGACAGCGGAGAAGCGGGTGAAGGGAGACATTGGACAGTGTAAGATATGACAAAATAATAATTTATAAATTATCAAGGGTACATGGGGGAGGGAGAGAGGGGAGGGACAGGAAAAAAAGAGGAGCTAATACCAAGGGCTCAAGTAGAAGCAAATGTTTTGAGAATGATGAGGGAAACAATTGTACAAAAGTACTTGACACGATGGATGGATGTGTGGATTGTGATAAGAGTTGTACAAGCCCCCAATAAAATGATTTAATTATTTTAAAGAGAAATAGAGAGAGAGAGAACAAAAACAAAAGAAGCTTAAAACAAAGTAAGATCAGAACCAATAATGAGGGTAGCGATACTAGGAGGGGGAAGGGAAAGGTGGGGTAGAAGGGGGGAACCGATTACAAGGATCTACATATAATCCGCTCCCTGGGGAACGGACAACAGAAAAGTGGGTGAAGGGAGATGTCCGACAGTGTAAGACATGACAAAATAATGATAATTTATAAATTATCAAGGGTTCGTGAGGGAGGGGGTGGGAAGGGAGGGCAAAAATAATGAGGAGTGATACCAAGGGCTCAAATA